TTAAGGTGTCAAACACGAACTGCTTCTTCCACAAGCATATATAGCTGGATTGCAGTAAGGAGGTAATTCATCTCTCCCAACCAAGTTCTACAAAAGAGCCTTCATAAAGCAGCTTAGCTTTATAGCAGTTTGTTAAGAAAGAGACTTTATCCATACAGCCTCAGAAAACTTCAGCACCATCAGCTTCATTAATAGGCTGTCAAGGTAAAATAGCCAAAAATTTATTACTAGTAGAAAGCAAATAAAATGTTAAAAGATCCTTGGAAATTTTCATTAATTTATTTATTATTGGAAATCTACCTTAGCTTTGTTTATTTTTTAATAAGGTAGGGAACAATTCTGCATTCAGTGAAAATTCAAACTTCTTAGATACCTGGGGCTTTTGAGCATAAGAGAATTAGAAGTCAGAAAGCCCAAATGCAGTTCTATTCACTTAAGAGACAAGAAGTGCAAAAAACTATTTCTAAATTACTGAAGTCCAAGGCAATCTAATTGATAGTCTTGTTTCAAAAACATCTCCTACTTAACCTGCAAGTGAATGTACAAGTGAGGGACAACATATACCCTGATAGGCTCAAAATAATGAAGAACTAGGAAGCTACATTTATGAAGCACTTCAAGGAAAGACAAAACTCTTAGAACAGACACTAAAAGTGGTGCTTCTTCAGTCAAGTTTCTGGCATTCCTAAAAAAGCTTTGAAGTTTGTTGTCGTTTTGGGACGTGCTTTCTTACTCCCTTGCTCTAATCTGTCCTAAAGCTTTCCATCCAAGTCCACTACAATCTCTGCTTTTGAGGCAATCCTCACTGCTTTAGCATCTGACACTTTATACTGATGCTTCCAGAACATCCTTGAGCAGCAGTGCTTCTGTTTAAGAAAAACTGAAGGAAAGCAAAACATCTAGAAACAATTTTTGAAAATACCAGCAGATTAAAAAAAAGTATTTAATACACAGTCTTACACAAAAGAACAGTAAGCGTTCAGAAATTGAAACTGATGAACTCACAAGAAACAGTTCCTTAGATATCCAAGTTAGACTTGAACAAGGGGAAGTTTCCTTCAAAGAAAGAGGACAAGCACATGCAAAAATTGCAACTCTCTCTTTAAACCGGCAATAAAAGAGCTGTAAACTGTAGGCCAGTATCACAGCTATTGTTTCATTAAGTACAATACCCATCTGACACTATCTTGCAGTGTTACTACAGAATTAAATCTGTGCACCATGGAACTAAAACTACAACTCTTACGTATTTTGGTCTCTTTTGTAAATACATGAAAGTTATTTTAATACCCTAAGTTCAAATCACTCGCTTTTCACTCTTAAGTTGGTGACATGAATAAAAGTAGTTCCTAGAACCGGAATTAATTTAGTAAAAAGGCTCTGATTTAGCTTTAATGATGTAAATCTCTGTAAGCCATTGACAGATGGATAGTAAACACTGCACAGCTTGAATGTATTATTAGCACTCAAAAGTACTGTTTGATTGTGGGTTGTTTTGGGGTTTTCTTCAGTATTTGTGCTGCTGAAAAATAAAATACCGCTTCAAATCATCATCAGCAAGCTCCTCAGCAGCAAGTATGTATGCAAAATAGAAGTTTGCAAAATATTACAGGACAAGTTTCCTGATGAAATTAGAATGCATACAGACATAGTTGAAATTTGCTATTACAGCTAAGTTTTACAAAGCAAGGGAAAAACACCCTAACCAGTAAGTGTTTATTAGTAACTCACCTAGATAGTGATCATACAACTAGATCTATAAATTTAGGCATCACCATGCTGCCCATTAGATTAACACTCAATGCCATAAAATTTTTAATGTACACCATCAGCATGAACAGGAAAAGAAAGCCCCACACAGAAAATATTTTTATCATCTGCAACTAAACCAGGTAACTGGTAACTGCATTAAAATTGATTACGAGACATTTCTCAAAAGTAGCTATACTAAAAAAAAAAAAAATCAGAAGTTTAGCACATTATAGAAAAGATAAAGAAACTTTAAACAAGAAAGCCTTATACTGCTGCCTTATATAAGAGGTTCCAATTCTTGTTGTCATTGCACTTACCATTTATGTCCTCCTTTTATACTGAATAGTAAAAAGGGATAGGTTATAAGTGAAGGAAGCTTACTTTTCAAAGCTTTTAAGAAACAAAAACAAGGATTAGAAACAATTATTATTTCCCTTCTAAATACATGGTTGGTAGAAGACTTTAATATGTTAAAGATTACGCCAAAAGAGTTTATCAAGACCTGATAAGATAAAAACTATTCACCAGTATGATAAAAAGCAATTTTTACCAAGAGTAAACTTCTAAACTCTTAAAATGGAAAGCAACTTTTTTCAGTGTATGTACAATGGAAATCCGAGACTAGACGTAACTACCAGATGCCTAAACCATTCTATGACTCTACAGAGTCTGTTCACAGTAAACAAATATTTGAATAATTTTTTTTTAAAAAAAGTAGTTGTATAAGAGTCTATTAAACTGAAAAACATTAGATAAATCATTTTGCAATCTCTAGAAATGGTTTACAATTCTCTGCTGCAAAATGAAAAGGCTTTCTCAATTCTCATTCACACTATACAAATGAAATAATTACCTAAAGACATACTACAATGAAAGCCTATAAAATGATAGGCCATGATTATTTATATAGCTGCCCTTATTAAAAAGTTACTAAAGAAAGTAAATAAATGCCTTTCAATTTTGTTGCAATTCTTCCTCTTTTAAAGTTCAAAGAATGTTAGAAGTAAAAGATAAGTCAACAGATGACCAGAATACTCAAGACAAACATTTTTTAACAATTATTGTATATGCCACGTTCAACTTTCCATGACATTAAAAAAACCACACCTGTAACTATATACTCCTTTATATAACTTACAACAGTGTTGGCAGGGTTGTCACTGCACACCCACTTCTACAGATTTTCTCAGTGTATTAATTAGTTCCACATGACCACACAATTCCAGCAATGCATCTCAGAGGGAAAGCTACACTCTTCCAAAGAGTTCTTCCACCTTTACCATTCCCAAAAATAAAAAATTTCACCATACCGAAGTCGCAAAAATGCTGCCCAGGGATTGAAGGGCTTCCCATCTGAACCCTTCCTCTTCCCTTCACATGCTACATTTTTGCCACATTCAGCACACCAGTTTGAACAGTTTCTATTCACACAGAATTTTGAACCTGAAGATGCAGAGAAGCATCAGGATGGCCAAACTGTGGCAAGCAATTCAAGCACAGAAGGGAAGTAACATTATCGCAAGACAGCTGCAACAGGAAAACTGTTGTTGTAGCCAACATTATTTTGTTTACCCCGAGCACCCCAAGCTGCAGGATATAGGCCACAACCTCCTAACAGCAGTGGGAATCGGAGGAGCTACTGCCACCTCAAGCCAGAGAGTTTTCTTCACAGCTTCTCCTTCCTACAGCTCTCTGCAGTGAATAGAATGGGTCTCAGATCAGCCACATGAGGATTTTGACAGCTTGTAGAGTCAGAAAAGCCAGGCCACTCCAAAGATGCTACATGAAGGCATTAAGGTGAAATAAAATTTTGTATTTGGCACTACAGAAGTCACAAAAAGTGCCATTTCTAAATCACGTCAAGACAAACATTATACGCTATTTCACATTATACATTTAATAATATGTGGGAACACACTAAAGAACATTATGAGCTTCAAATTCTAGATTTTCAACACCTCAATGAAAAGACATGCTGAAAGCTGTCTCACTGTCTCACAGCATGAGCCATTATGGAAATAAATTTTTCTGCTGCAAGTTTCTCAAAACACAATCAGCAAAATCAACTGATAGCTATTAGTAACATCAAAGGAATTTTGCTTCCTTCCTATCTTTACTAAAACCACTAAGGGTCAGAGGATGGGAAAACTCCTCTGAGAACAGGAAATTTTCTAATTCTCTTAGGATGTCTCAGACCATAAATAATGTGTTTTTCTCAACCCTACAGAAAATACTATGCTATAGAATGTAGCATAAGTATTTTGTCCACAAAACAAAAAAAAGTAGCTGTTTATTTTTGATTTAGGTATCACGTTGTACCTGTAAAGGGGAGCAAAATTCGCTCCTTCAGACTACAGTTGTTACAGCTATCATAAAAGAAGATTGTCTGGATCATTTATTTAGTGCTTCCTCACCAAGAACAGCTGTAACAGTAAAAGGGGTTCTTCCCACATGAAACTAAAGCATTCACAACACAGGTTGCATTCATTTAACTACTTTGGTTGGTAGGAAAACAAAACTAAATTAAAAATCATACCCTTGACCTCGATCATGAAAATCTACAAGCTGACTACTCTGATACCATCATTTTGCTAGTCCTGCAGGATGAGTCTTCAGACACAGAAGACACCTAAATTACTAATACAAATAATGTAGCAATTACAGGAGAGGATAATTTTTTTCCACCTTTCTAATCTTTCAGTCTCTTTTACTAAAGATTTTGAATTTTTCCTCATCTTGTGTTACAGTAGGGTCAAAGCAGATAGCAATTTTGGGCTACATACGAAGTTAAAACTGCCCATTTTGTTTCTGAAGTATATTATTCTTATTAAGTCAAGCATAAATCAAAACCAGCAATTCAAACAAGCTTAACAGCCTGAGCTGTTAAAAAATCTAAATCTTCAAACAAGGACACCACCTCATAGAAATATAATTTATTCCCATGACCCTTCACTTAGAAAAAAATTCATTGTTTCATTGGAAAATTATTTTTTCAAATAAAAAGGCAAATTATTATCTGAACACCTTCACTTAAGTGTTACATCACTAGCTTGCAAGAAAAATAAGAGTGATGCCACCATACAAGAGAATAATTACACTACTAAATGCGTACCACTCCACTCATGAGAGCGATGGAATACTGAAGAAAAAAGTAAACAAGAAGTCAGCAGCTCAATAGCTAGTATATAAAAATATTACAAGAAAATAGTATTTTACAATTTGGACTTCTGTCATAAAATTTTACTTACATTGTCCATGAAATTCGGCTTAAATCCTCCCTCCTGCTGTCGTCGTAGTTCCTCCTGTTCCCTCTGGCGGAGCATCTCTTCTTCACGACGCCGATGTTCTTCTTCGTGCCTAGAATGTTTTTCAAAAGCTATGTCAACAAGCATGTTAATACTGCCAAGAGACACATTTTTCAATCTGAAAGGTGTTTGTTTTGTTCTTTTTTTCTCATCTACACTTGTGATATTTAACATAAAAAGTATAAACTCAATCAACATGATGACACTGTTTATTTTCCCAAATTTTAGCAAAGGCATGAAAATAAATATTTGCATGAGTCAGATCTTAAAGGAAAAATTGTACCAGAATATCAGGTGAAAAATGACCCAAAACCGTCTTCAAGACTATAAATTTGCAATGCTGCTGTTCCACGTGCAGATCACCTGCCCATAAATCTCATGAGCATATTCATACCCACTACACCATTATTACAGCCATGCTTCAGTCACAAGGGTAAAATAAATAATATGAAACAAAAATGTTTACATTAAGATATTTCTAAACTATTCAGAAAGTTCAGAAATTTACAACAGAACTGGTAGAGCTGACATAAAAAGACTCAAGAAGTACTTGAAATCATTGTTTTGTATTAGCATTAAGTGATCACTTCTCTATTCAAGAACAGCAGGCAGGAACATCACAAACTATGCTTTTGAATAGCAACTTTTTAGCAGCAGAAACATTTTTAGCTGACAACAGAAGCAAGCTTTACAAGCTAGACTTTGTAAATTCACACAGGCCTATGCAACTGCATGCCACCCTGCACACACCAGACGACAAAATACCTCAATTGTATCTGCTTGCGTTTTTGAAGTTCTTGATTTCGAAGTTCTTCCAAACGCCTCAATTCTTCTTGACGTCTCATGAGATCTAACAGATTAAAAATACAATAAAGATAAAAGCTGTCAACCAACAATATGGCAACAACAACAACAAAAAAAACACTAGTACTGTCAGATTACAGTTCTAAAATTCATTTTTCTAAAGAAATTTCTCAACACCTTTAACTAGTTTCTTCCCATAAAGATAAGTCTAGTACATGGACAAGAACATTAGATCCACAGCTCACAAATGTGAAACGGTACAGGACTAGCAACACTTCCAAATGGAGTTATGCAGAGAGAAAGCTCAAAACTTCAAAGAAAAGAAAAATACACTCCATCTCTCATATCACACCCTAGTTTTACACGTAGGACAAGGCATTGATTTTCTCACAATGCTGTGTACTGCTGTAATCACAATAGCAAGATAATTAGTGCAATACATATGGGCTTATGCTTTCCACCTATTGCAGACCAGTGCATGGAACAGATCAGGAGAAAAGTGCTAAGAACTTCAGGTGCATGCAAGGCAAACCTTCATAGAGATTCATTCCATGACTCTGCTTACAGCGACTTACAAATAACTAATCTTTTAACACTACCAGAAAGGAACAGCCATATCCTCTTAAAAAGCAGGGTGCAGCTAAGAGCAATTCATTTTGCTATACTAGCTTCTCGTCAGTCACATTATTAATTTCTGCCTGGAAATTTATGCTTTCTTCAATAAATATTGATTATACCTTTTGTTAGAAAGCAGCTAGCCTTTTCTGCCTTCATAGGATATTAGCCACATGACATTATTCATAGACACTATGAGAAACATTCCACTCCATCACGTATTTTATGGCTTCTATGCTTTAGTTCGAACTATCCCCCACATTTTTCTACTCATTTCTTCACCGTACTAATTAAAGTATCTTTTTAGCTATGCAAATCACTTTCCTCAAACTTATATCAGCATACATTATTACAACAACTTCTTACTTTAATAGCCAAAACCAACTACAACCAGTACCTTTCACCAAAACAGCATGCATTTGTTTTCTTTTTTAACAAGGAAGATTACCAGATTTTTTACTCTCACAGCATCCTTATTGACATTAGAAGTCCTTTCTCAAGCACATTTTGCAGGCTTGCTTTTCCAACCCCTTCTGCAAAATTAACACATTTCACACTTCAGTAGAAGAGGATTACAGTGAAGATTCACTCAAATCACACAGTCTGAGGGGTACTTCTTTCCAACTGTGCTTTCCAGAGGCATGGCCAGTGTTATCCTGGCTCTGGGGAAGTGCTACAAGCACACTTTTTTTTCCCTCAACAACTTCTAGATTATTTGAGAGTACAAGAGCACTTTTTTATTATTATTATTATTTTCAAATTAGCTTCTAGGTTGTTTCAGGGTACTACTGAGGTCAGGAACTGACCCATTCTGTGTTCCATATTGTCCACTGTAGGAAGAGATGTTCCATTTTCAGTTCTTTGCTCTTTCAAATTTATGTAGTATTCCCTTTTTCTTCTGTTAATACACTGGCACAGGATTTCCTACTTTCTCTACCACTAATTGCTACAAATCTAGTATTTGCGCTCCTTCATTCTTAAGGCTGAATTTTTTTCCACAGCATAGCTCTGGTTATTGCCTTTTCTGAAATTGTTAGTATTTTAAAGTCCAATGTATCAATTTATAACTCACTACCCTTTAACAATGGCAGAACCTTTGCACGAACTCTCACTAGCCAGGTGAAAATGGCCATCCACAGGTTCAGGCTGTGCACAGGGCCATTCCTATTAAAAGATCTGCAATGACAGTGATTTTTGGATTGGCACATGTCGAACACAGGCCATTTCTCTGAACAAAAGACAATAGCTTCTGCACTTTCTTGTGCTTAAAAAGGGGCAAGGTCTTTATCCTCAGCATTCTGCAGAGCAGAGGGCAGAAGGTGAAAGCACACTACCACATCAGAAGCTAACCCTAAAAGTAGGAGTACCAAGTCCAAACAGATCATAGAATCATAGAATCAT